GGGTCACACAAATACTTGTCTCGTGTGGGAATCCAACCCATAAGCCCCGGCGCCAGTACCTTGACGAGTCGGAGTCACTATGAAAGCCTGCTACGGCCCAGTTACCAGCCTTAAATCTTTTGTCTTAATTATGAATCCTTACTAATATTATCAGGCGAAAGTTTGTATGTATGGATTGATATTTGTTACTCTTTCACGCAAATACTACTGACTGGATTTTAATGAAACTTTACAGTGATATAGCTTATACATCAGAATAACACATAGGCTATAATTTATATATATATATATATATATATATATATATATATATATATATATATATATATATATATTTTATACATATCTATCTTTCTGTCTGAATGTTACGCCTTCTGCCTATGCTACGCAGACGTAGTCGCGGGCAGCAGCTAGTAAACTATATATTTTGAATGCTTATCTGCTCTCAAGATGTTGAATTAGATAGTTGTCGAGATTTTTGCGCTATGATCATCGGTCGAGCCGAATCTTACTTATGTAGAGCGTCTGGGCGCAATAGCCTGGAGACATAAGTTCGAAACCCGAAGTACAGAAAAATCTTTCTACTATTTGTACCACTTATCGCACATTTTTAATAACCCGTGCGGACCTGCCAATTCGTACAATAGCGAAGACTATTTTGAGTAAATAAGACTGTCCTACTACAGTTTTATTTACTCGCTTAGCGGAACCACTTCACTAGTCACACGTCATTAAAAACACATCGACAGTGCGAACTTTCATTGAGTTTGAGTAATTATAACGGCGAGTTTCAGACTCTACTCGCGCGACTTCGGTTTGCTCTATTTTGCCTCACTTTAACTTGCTTTACTATGTTTCCAAGTTACCGTTAACAACTCGGCTGGCAGCGCAAATTAATTAACGCATTACTTTTAACTCCTAAACGATAGAGGAAACCCGGTTCTTACATTTAACTTAACGAAGGGGGGGAGTTATTTTCGTCGAGCACGTGCAACGGCGAAGTTATAAGAGCAAGCTTCGTAACGGTTCCATTGTAAGATCGGCCGTGACTGTGTACAGAATTTCCACGGAGAACCTTCAAACCGCACATAAGTACGACTGCATGACTCTACATAAGTACAATTTCGTCGCTGTGATTGTATAGTAATTTTAAGATGCAAGAACAATATTCAGTCTGTGAAATCTGCCAACACCCACTGATATTTGAGGAACTCTTGCATTGAGTTAAGCTTACCTTTTGTACATTACTTAATTTTATTTTTGTATCCCTATGTTTTGTGTACAATAAATACATAAATAAGTAATTGACTGTACCCTACTGTACGGAATAGCCAGTCGACCACCAGGGGGACATAAACGTATACTGTTACTTTATACAACATAAAACTGGTTTCGAAGTGTACAATTTATCCGTACGCTCCCCGATTTCATCTGCAGCGTTATTGGATCGGGCCGCGGGCGAAAAAGCGATCTCGGGTACGACGTCTTGATACGAGGCCGACGAGATATTAGACGACGAATTTAATGCTCGCATCTGCTGCCACGGCGGGACGAAATGTAGTGCAGCTGACATTCGGCATGTTAGAAGCGTAAGCGATCTCCGCCAGCGTTTTTGTTTGATAATAGCGATTGTGAAACCAGTACCAGTACGGCATCGAACCATCATGAAGTATGAGGGTCAGCGCTGAAAATCAGCGCTGTGCTGGGGTTTTGACTTCTGGCACAGCATAAAGCCGAGTGCTGACCTAATTTACCGGTAATAGGGCGTACAATTATTTTCTCTTAGATGGATTTATTTTTCTTTTGTTTTTACATCTTTTTTATGTACAGATTTTGTTTTGTTTACTCGTGTGTATTATTTTTTTATTTCTTTTTGTTTTTTGTTAAGCTTTTGTTGTGTTCGTCCTTTTTTGGTAAATAAATTTATTTTCTTTTTTTTTCTTTCAGTACTTTCCTGGACTGTCTTATAGTAGTTTGATGTGTCCTTAATTAACGAAACTATTTTATGGATTTAATCGCATATTGTTTTGTTTTTAAATTCTTGACTTGTCGAACACTTCACAGCGTTCATGGTCGCAAGACGGGCTGAGATTTTTTACGTCTTAATGTCAGAGTCAACACGAGATATCGTTGTTTGATTGTTTAATTAAATGATCTAGTGCGTTTTATCTAGAGGTTTTGTAAGTTTTGATTTGATTAATATCTGGATACCAAACACCAACCATTTACTCAATTGAAATTGGGGTATTTACCGTTATTTCTAGGAATCGGTGCTCTTTTTCGAACATTTTTTTTTATAATTTGAAGCTCATCTAATGTAATGATTGAGGTGGTCTAAAATGTGTTCACAATTTTTCTTATTGAACGTACGTACGTCTTGAATTTGTTACTAATTGTTGCAACGTTTTTGCAGTCCTTAACTTTTAACAATAAAAACTGTGAATGCAACCCATTAGAATGGTAGCTAACCAAATAATAGAGGTTCATAACATAATGATGGAAAAAAAAGGGCATAATCCATCTCAAAGATGCTGGAATATTTATCGGATTCAGAAAAGGTCAGTGTTCCTTTCATTATAATAAAGAAAATATACATCATATGTACGAATTATGTACGTTTGCATAGCGGTGATGAAAAACATTCCGTGGAAACCTGCATGTTTTCGAATTAATAACAAAAAAAAATATTTCGGAGATATGCGAAGTTCGCCAATCCGCAGTGGAACCGTGTGCCCAGCAGTGGGACATTTATGTTACTGTTACTTTAAATTTTTTGCATAAAATCTGTTCTCCGAGTTCTCTATCGTTAAGCTATGTTTTGAGCTACTGCAACCATAAACACCACTACTACAACCACAGACAATTATTATACTACACAAAAATACATAGAAACTGTTTTCTTTGTATCCACGACTCTATTAAATTTACCGAAGTAAACTCTTTATAAAGACGACTCAAAGGGGCTTGGCTTAAGACCGTCATTAACTTAACACGAGCCCGTGAACGCCTGAGCCTTGGCGAGATGATCAAAGCAAATCGTAATCTTTAGTTCTCGCAGTCGGCCAAAGCCATGTTCGTTATCGACAATAATTGTTGCCATTCTCTCAAGGTGATCCGGCTCGCCTAGCTCGCGTCACATGAGAGCTTGCAACAACCGGTGCGCGCTCGATCTATTCCTTTTTCAAAATATATTCTTTTTTTCAAAATTTGTTCGTTTTTTGACTGGATTCAAGAAGGAGGTTTTCCATTCGGTTGCATTTTTTATGCTCGTTATCTCATAACTCCGTCATTTGTTGATCGATTTTAAAAATTCTTTTTGCATTCCGTTTGATTTAGCTCCAGTGTGGGTTCGTACTAATTTCATTGGTATTGTTTCGTTAAAACCTCAAAGAACTCCTCAAGATCATATAGAAAATATATAAGTTATCCAGTGATATTATATATACTTTAATAATGTATACTAGATAGATATAACACTAGCGCATCGAAATTGAGGCATTCAAATTACAGCAATTGGTGTAGAATTATATTGCAATTCTATAGACTGCTATCTCTTTCCGCATCATAATTTCTATATCATCTGTCATATTCACTTATTTATGTAATTCAAAGTAAAGCGGAATAATTTTTAAACGCAGCGCAATGTGGACATGGGTCATCTAATTATTATTGTTAAAACATCGTTGAGTCTTTATCTATCAAATATCACACAATAGTTTTTTGTTAATAAAAACGTTATTATTTTATTTTTTTATAAAACCCTCAGCAAGACTGTCTGGCTTTTAAATTACTAAAATTGTGAACAAAATTACTTTATTACGTCTTGAATCGCTTGACATAAATTACACCGCTTATGGAATTTATGCAACCTATGCAATTTTATGTTTTCTTATTCGGGTAAAAAATAATTTACCGCGTCCTTAATGGCGGTGGTGTATTTTTTTATTTTGTGATGGATTATTAAATATACTCGTATAATAACGATGCAGTGATATATGCAATATTACAGTTAATTGAAATTCTGGAACCATTTCAAACCCAAGCGTGGGTAATTTAGGTATAATATTTATTTATAACACTGCCCTTTTCGCTTGCAGTTCACGAATAAATTGTATTTATGAGTTCATGGCTCTTGGGAAAATTAAATTAAAATGATTAAAACATAATCATTCAATTCTTTCAACCCCGTCCAAAATGAAAAGAGAGTTTGTCGTTTGGTTCAGATAAAATCATCAAAACATGTTCGTTTTCTGTGATAAGACGGCAAATTAAACTGATTTCAAAACATAATAACCACCGCCCATAGACCTCTGATAGGTCCAAAAATAATCGGTACATACATCGACCGATCGAAGGCTTTTTCTCTTTTTTAAATATTAAGTGATTATTTGTAAGTTAACTTGTATATTTAAAAATTGCTACAACTGCCGCATTTTATTGGAAATCGTCAAGAACTAACCCCCATGGGACAGGCATTGCCTAGTGTGGGGGTCAGAAATAAATTTAAATGTAATTGGACTTTTTCTGAATAAATAAATAAATTTAAAAAAATTAACGTGAGTTAAGTCGTCTTATTATTTCGTTAATAAGTAACTAATTTAACTGCGGTACGGCCACGCAACGGCTTCGGCTGTTGCACTAACAGGCAGGTCCCACCGGGTAAGTACCACAACCTCACAGAAAGCCGGCGTGAACTGGAAGCGCCATACTTCTGCTGAGTGAGGTAGTCGGGGCCCACTTTATTATATTGTGGCAACCCATCTGCAACCATACGTGTGTTGCAAATGTCCATGGGCGGCTGTTATCACTTAACATCGGGTGAACCGTCAGCTCGCTTGACGCCGTCGCAAATAAAAAAATCTCTCTCAAGTTTCAATGATTTTTTTTTGCTGAGACTAGCACCAAAAATGAAATACTAAATCTGTTACAATGTCTTTTTGATGAAAACAAGCCTGGCCTTTCCCGCCTTTTTCATTGGCTTGTACCACCATCGAACATCACTGCAAGCCGCGTCGGCGTAGATTGAAACAGTCATCAGTCGCGTCCCACAGGATGCGTCCATTGCCGCTGATATTCGCTCCTTTATGACCCTCCTTCTTACATGTCTCCCCATTGTTGTTTAACGTACTCCATTGTGCGCCGTCCCGCTCTCGCACGCGATCCATCCGGCATGATTGAGGGGGTACGTTGCTCCTACAGACACATTACGCCCGCGGAAGGATTTTGGGCGCGGAAGGCTTGATGGAATAGTTTTATAAATCGCTTTTATATTTGATCGATGTGAAGGAATGTCAAAGGATTTAGCTTTGAGATAAGTTTTGTGGCCAATTCGCGAGCATTTGGGAATGTCTATATTGACATAATATTGTTTTGTCCTACGCGGCGAGTTGAAACGTACGTTTTATTGTCAACACACGTTGGTTTAGTGTCAATATTTTGATTACGGGACATTTAAATTGAGTAAAAATAAAACAAAAAAAAGGAAAACCTTGTACAGCCGTTTTGTAGATTAGATTTAAAATTAACTATATTTATGCAAACAGTACATGGTTGAGGTACAATAAAATTATCTGTAAAGTGACGGAAAGTTGAAATATAACTCTCACTTATGCTACCAAGACATCTTAAAAACATTGAATGAGAGAAAAAGAAGACCAGACTAGACAAAGGTCAGCGTCACAGAAAAAGAATAAATAAATTAAGCGTTTATATGTGTACTTTTTATGTAACAATTATAATAATAAACTGTTCCAGTCTTTTCCTTAAAGCGTTGTTTGTGAACGAACATCTTTTGATAAAATAAGATGTTTGATAGAATAATATGAATATTCTTTTTTCTTTTTATTATATGACATATTCTGCATATTAATTATTTATTTTCCTTTTTTTTTAAGACCAGATTAAATTTGAAACTTACAGACCTTATCTACGTACGTTTTAAAGATTTTTAATACGCATTTAATATTAATATTTAAGGTGATAAAATCTCAAAAAATATATTTCATTTTATTAAATATTTCTCTATACCTGTATTTATTATTATAATATAATATAATATGATATATACACAATTGCATAACAACTGTAAAAAAATAATTCACACTGATACAGGCTCCCATGTCTTCTACGTGATTAAAAATTCACCATAGGTACAAAGAAAATGGGGAAGCCCCGAAAAAAAAGCTTTATATTGTTTTATTTCGCCGCCCAGACCACAATGCGGCTAAATTGGAGACCACAAAAATTTGCATTTCAATTTGTCAAGCATTGTGGCTCGGTGAACAAAAAAGCGTTAGAGTTGGTGAACGGAAAAACTACACATTTCTAGTATGGGGAAATGCAGTCATCTTGTTTTATGTTCTTCTTGTTATATGACCTTTGAAAAATGGTGTTGCAAATGTCAATGGGCGGCGGCTATCAGTGAGCCACCATTTTGTTTGCCATCTTCTCACATAGAAAAAAGAATTATATGGTATTGCTCGACTGCCACTCCATCTGGGGGTAAATAGAAACGCAGCCGTAGATGGTAAAGAGGGTAATTAAACGTTATTTGGTACTCTGTTCAGTGGATCGTTTCTTGAAGCTACTGAAATATATCTATATATTAATTAATAGTAAATGTGACTATACTTCATCTATCGTAACGTCTTTAAAAGATCCATTGTATTTAGAAACGAATAAAATACACTACTAATGTATCAAACAAGTGTTTAAAACAATGGCAGCCATAACTTTATGTCGTCTACAATTGGATCAGGTGTTGTATTCTCTTTCTTATCTGTCCCAACTCGTGATACTCCTCTGATATTGTAGATGTCCGTAAGCGACGATGATCACCAACCATCAGCTAAGTGGCGATGTTAGTAATAAAGGCCGCCCATGGACATTTGCAACACCCGTAGGTTTTCATATGCGTTGCCACCTTTTAATAAAGTGGGCCCCGGCTACCTCACTCACCAGACGAAACGCAGAAGTTAAACACTTCTTCTTTACGCCGTGTTCTGTGAGGTAAGTACCAACCCAGACGGACCTGCCCATTCGTGCAACAGAACACTGTTGCGTGGCGTTACCACGGTTTGTCAACCTACTCAAGAAGGCCGCATGAAACCTCGACGTAATTTTGGTACTGAAACAATTCGGTACAAGATACAATTGGCGTCCAACACTCATTCAACACGACCTAATAACGGCTTAACTAAACATTTCCTTTGCACCGACACACTGTACCGGCTCGGCAAACTTAAAACTAATTTCTCGTTCGCCGAGACTTAAAACTAATTCGTATTCGACTGAGCAAAGTTAGTTTTAGAACATTAGATCCGAGTTACATTAGGGATCAAAAGCTCTTGTGGGCTGAACTTGATATGAATTATCTTTGGGCGTGCTGCAGTCGAGTTTCAACCGTCATACCTGCTTTACTAGTCGACACAAGCATACCCGTGATCTATTTTATTAAGTCTTTAACGATTTCTTATCAACCGATTTAGAAAAAGGAGGAGTTTTCAATTCGTTCCTTTTTGTTTGTTACCTCAGAACTCCGTCATTTATGAATCGATTTTTAAAATTATTCTTGCATTGCGTTTGATTTAGTCCCAGTGTGGTTCCGTATTTCATAGGTATGCCACCTTGGCTTCTGGAGATACATCAGATAACTCCTCAAAATTAAATAGACCAGAATAATGAGTGAGATATATGAAGTCGATTTGTTTTTTCGTAATAAAAATATTAAACTTGTATGACGAAATGCGCTCTCGGAAGGCAAACGTCCGAACACACAACTATTTAAGGATTGGCGACGTATCTGCATTCGTAATCCTCTTCTTAACATTTCGTTCAAGGCGACGGTAGTCACTCAGGCCAGCCGCTGTGTGAGGAGAAAATGCATATACAATTATACTCCATATGCAATTAAACTAAACTGCGGATTTTATCGGATTCTCTGTAGAAAATCCGCTCCCGAATTTTCGACAACAACAGGCGAACTCCTTTTCGGATATGTTCAGAGAGTGTTTAAAGTATCTGGAGTAGTGGAACAATTAAAACACGTTCTGTGTTAAATTTCGGACTATTCTTTGACTATCTCAACAGCTTCGCGAATCGTTCTTTAAAGAGATTAGTACTGTACTCGCAACTCTAGTAAGCTTCGCCATTAAGTGTTCCTTAAATTAAATGCAATAATAATGTTTAAATTAAATGCAATAATGCAGGCGGCTCAGGATCATGTTTCGTACCAGTCTGTGGGGGAGGGTTGTGTTCGGCATTGGACTTTAATAGGCTGAAATTATGATGATGATGATGAATAGGTATAAATTGAGGACTCCGTAGCGCATTTGCCAAGGTATTGGCTTCGACGTCGGGTGTTTTGCGTTCGATTCCCACGCGGGACAACAATTTGTGTGACTCACAAATAGTCGTTTCGCATCTAGGTGTTTGTCCGCGTGAAATGTATGTTTGTAAAACGTCCTGGATAATGTAATCCCAAAGTAAAGCCAATATTTTCTTTTTTGAAAAAATGAAAAAAAATTAAAAAAGGATGGTTAGGTAGGATTACAATTACGACGTAACCGAAGCGAAAACGTCAAAGTTTTTAGCACATTTTTTTTTGTGTTCCACATCCGATCATTAATGAACAATAGGTTAGTTACACAATTTCGTTATGGCAGCGCTTTAGCTAGTAAACAGCGATTCATCGAACGGGTGCGGCGAGTCAAGTCGGTGGCCACGCGGCCGGTGCAGTTAATTACTTATCCTACTTCGTGTGTGGCGTCCGCAAACATTGCACACTGAAGATTTATGTGAAACATTCGCATAAAGAACGCGTTCGAAACAGAATGCGATCTATCGAGGTTAACACTAGAGAAATAATATTTCTCAATCTTCTGAACCCTAACGCATTCAATTGGTCGCATTCACTTTACACAGTTTTATATTTTTTGCATATACGTAAGGCCATTCGACTATCAGCGAACCGCTCGTGGACTATGACATTTATACGACCTCCAAAAAGGCAAAGAATACAAAAAATACATTTATTGGTGCATATGGCCAACTGTATAGCGAGAGAACAACAAACGATAAAAAAATACATTTATTGGAGCAAATAGCCAGCTGTATAGCGATATATCACTTGTACATGATAAAATCGGTATAATGATGGACCATATTTGCTATCTCTTTCTGGGTTGCTTGTCATCCTCACTGTTAGATCTTTGACCTTGACTGGAACTTACCAATCAGGTACACTTGAAAAAGTAGCATAGCCTGCCCTAGTTGTCCTGAAGCATGCCTCTTCGATGTTCGACAATTCTACAGCAATTTGGCGGAGTTGGGGCGTCCGCGTCGCGTCGTTCTCACTTCGATCTTCATCACTTTCGATCATACGAAAAGTTCAAGGAGGGTTCTTTAAAGTGTAATCATTCTATTGAACAATTTGACGGCGAACGAGAATTTAGTTTTAGCTTAGTTTAAAATCGGTGCAATAATAGTTTAATATGTGTCAATGCAACTAATACAATTCAATATTTTCGTAAAGGCTTACTATAACATAGCAGAATATATATATATATATAAAGAATATACAAAGCATGTAAGAACTCTACATTTGAAAGTCCTCTTGATCCAGCCAGTTTCATATTTATAAAAAAATCTGCACTATTAGTTGTTCTCGACAGTTTGCCCGAGACCATGGAAGGTGTAAAGCGTTTGTAAAGCCAGGTAGGTATTCAAAATCAAAATAGACTGCGATAAAATCAACTTATGTACTAAATAAAAAAAAAAACAAATTGTGTATCTGATAATATCGCGAAGCAATGTACGCTTTCTGGACGCCCCTAAATCAGTAAACTTTATTTTACTACGGCCGATGTATGTATTATTATTAACTATTTGATCAAGACTTTTAACTGTGTAAGTGTTACACGAATGGGTGGGTCCGTCCGGAGACCGTGGGGCCCACGGAGCCCAGTTTATCAAAAGGTGGCACCTGCAACGCTATAGGTGTTGCAAATGTCCATGGGCGCCGGTCATCATTTACCATCCAATGAAATACACTTTCGCTCGCCATCTTTATAAAATAAAAAAGACCAAAACACGATGATCACTTTTATAGGATACGTGCTCATAATGTAAACAAGCCTGATCATATCCAAAATTATATTTAACTTGTTAGAAAACTAAAGATCTAATAGTTTTAGAATAACTTTTTTGTACTACATTTAAAGCTGCCGATTTTATTAACTACAATGACTCTTCTTAAACGAATTTTTGCTACGTTCGCTTCACCGGATTAATTTAATTTTATTAATCTTCCTTAACTAATTTCGACATAAACCCTTTAAGCGCATATTTTATCTGCCCAAAGCGTCGGAGAGTTTTATCGTTGGACGAAATTTAATAATGTAAAAGCCTTCCATCACGTCGACTTTAATAGACTAAAAATAGTTGGCTCAGCGAAAATCCAGCCTTAAGTTGGACGAAGCCGACAAACTTATTTAGTAGGTTGAAGCCCCGTGATTGAGGTATTCAGAAACGTGATTAACAAGTTTGGATTAAATTCGCAGAATGTTTAATTAGAGAGTCTTTTTATATCATCAGTAGATGGCGAAAGCCTCAATCTAGAAACGGTTTCCAACTGACTTTGAACGAATACACAAGCCTTTTGAAACTGAGTGTACAGAGCTATCTGCTCCTATTCCCAGCGTCGTAATTTAGACGCACGGCTCATAATCATGAGGCATTTGACTGTTAATTTACCAGATTAATTAGTGAAACATATTTTTCAGCCCTGAAGCCGAGTCCCGTAGCGCTGAAACAACATTCAGACAAACTGACTCACATTTGAATTCCATCTTAAGTGTTGATTATACTAAAAATAAAATGAAATCAATACTAGAATAAGATATTTTGACTTATTTGGTCGATGTGTATACTATGTTTTTCTATAAAATAAAATACATAGTTACTTCGACAAGTGATCTAAGGTGTGACTTCTTGTCTTTATTTATGGAGCAATTGAACCATTATAATTTAGGTGCCATCTATGTCCACTGTTAGGGTGAATAGCCGAGAAGTATAGAAAATTACTAGCTGACCCGGCAAATGTTGATATATACATATTATATTACATATAAATTATTTGTAGCGTAGAAAAAAATGTTTAGGGAGGACCATCCTTAACATTTCACGAATATTGGTCGAGCCGTTTCGGAGGAGTTCAATTACAAACACCGTGACACGTGAATTTTATATATTAGATTATGCCCACATTTATTTTTCACGTTAGTCTGATAAAAATTCAACGGGTGTTCACTGAAGCTCCCATTTAAATAAATCGAGAGCTCGGTACGCCTGTGTAATCGAATTCACTAGTTTATTTAAAAGTTGTTATCACAAATGCAAATTGATTTTGATTTTTGGTCGAAATCGAATGTTAGTAGGACACTCGTTTTAGTTATTACGAATACGACCAGTGGATTGCATCGATTATTATTAAAGAAAATCGACCTTCTTGAGACCTGATTTTATAAGAGTCTTATATTGAAACTAAATAATTCATTGAAAGGGCAAAAAGTGGATAATAACAATTGAACTTCTTCAAGTATCGCTTTGGTTTGGTTTTTTAATAGGCTTCGCGTAATAGTGTTTGCTGTAATCTGCGTGATCTACCCATTATTAAATGTAACCGTCGTTTGCTTTCACCGTGAGTTTTGTGAGTTTCGCTTCCGTCCTAACCGAGTGTGAGGCCATATATTCTTTACGTCATCTGCAGGAAAAGAGTAGAGAACAAGGTTCGACTTCTTTGACCTTGAAAAGGTGTTTGACAGCGTGCCTCGTGATGCTCTGTGGATGGTGCTTGAAAAGATAGGGTGCACGGAAAAGTTTGTGAGGCTTCTAAAACTACTGCAAGATGACATGGGGTGCTTTGTAAAAACAAAACAATTTAAATGGTGGGCCACGCAACAGTCTTCGTTGTTGCACGAATGGGCAGGTCCGTCCGGTTAAGTACCACGACCTCACAGAAGACCGGCGTGAGGTGGGAGTGTCATTCTTCTGCGTTTTGTCTGGTGAGTGAAGAAGCTGAGGCCCATTTTATTAAAAGGTGGCAACGCATATGCAACCCTACGGGTGTTGCAAATGTCAATGGGTGGCAGTGATCACTTCACATTAGGTGAACCGCCTGTTCGCTTAATAACCAAAAATAATCTTAAACGACTTAACTTCTTTCAACTTGTGACTTAATAAAATCTAGTTTATATCTTTATAATAGTATATTAATAGCATTACGTAGATCATTTGATCCGGTTGCTTCAGTAGCCTGTACAAGAGTTTTTTATCGTGTCAAACGAGTCTGCTGCAAGACAAAACGATCTTTCCGATGCTTCGAAGCCGCGCTTTTTTTTAATTTTTTAACGTAAATGTTTATAATCTTAATATTTTGACGTTAACAACAACAGTTTTCAACTTTATTAAATTGAATTAAGAAAAAACTTGTAGCTATGAAATTAAGTAGCAATCTGGGCTGCCGGGTACATTGGGTTATGGGTGATTTTAATTTTTTTTTCATTGACAATGTCAGTTTCAATCTTATCCCTCACTTTCAAAATATCCATGATAAAGTAAATAAATGCGGACAGTACGTCATTGCTACCTGGTTACCGATATATGTTGCTCTCACCTTCTTTTGTACAATCGCCTACAAAAGTTTAGCCACAATCGAATGAATGAATGAACGCTATACGGATATTTAAACGTATGGAACTTTCTCCATTTGTTAAATTGTCGTGAACCCTTACATTTTTTTTAAAACAACTTTACATTTCTTTAGGATTATTACGGAAAGTAAAATGGAACAGTTTAATAGTGTTAAGAGTTACTTATGCCCGTTTTCACCATCGATCTCTAACTTTAAGGGCACCGAAAAAAAATTAAGTGCCAGTTTCGTTTTCACCGCCGCCTAAATATCACGCTATTAATAAAACTTTAGGTGACACTTAAGCGGCGGGCATTAGACAATATCGGAAACGAAAGTAGCTACAATCGAGCAATCGATGAACATTGGCATCGAAAACTGGGGGTTGACTTGGACGAGTTGAAAGCGTGTTTAACGCTCCGAATTTGTGTAACGGCTTTGCTTAGAGCCCTTTGATGTTCGCGGATTCCACAATGAAGCGGAGTAGGGCGGCTTCGTTCAACTTCGCAAAGTCTCATTTGACGCCGGTGTGAGGTCAACGGTTCCGCTCGATTTGTTCCCCTAATACGACAGACGAGCGACGTTCGACGCAGATCAGATCTCTTCCCTCCCTCTGACGGAGCTGCTGTCGAGTTGACGAATTAAATGTTCGCTCTGAACACAATCGGGCGAATCGAAAAGATTTGTGCGTTGTTTAAGACTGGAATGATGATATAATTCTTATGCGATTTGGTTTAAAATACACTGGCAACTGACAACTGTTGTATCTGATGATCAGTAATTATGTAATCTTTGAAGATAGCCTAGCTCAGAATGAGCTAACTCAATACCCATATTTCTACTCGGACGGGAAACAAAGTATCCAATATGTCCTTACAATATTTTCACTATATTTTAGAGCGCTTTTAAATAATTTTCAAAATTAGTTATTATCAAGTACTATTTTAATACTCAAGAGACTGTGAAGTATTCAGGTGCTTTCGTTATTAAGTTTACTACAGGACCATTTACTTAAATCTGAATGATCAATGGGTTTAACGACACACCATCAAAATAGAAAAGGTCGTAAAAATGCAATTAAATGCCCCACCATATTTTTTCTAGGGGCGCCCTTTTATCGGAAATTGTCGTATTGTCCGTGAGTTATTTCCCGAGTCCCGTGGAAGGACCCCTCCGACCTTCTTCGAAATACCTGGGCGTAATTAAAAATGACTGCGAGACGGAATTTAATTTTGTCGTAGACGAGTACACGGGCGACTAACACTTTGCGAGTCGCCCAGGTGCTTAGCACACTCATGACTGCTCTGCTTAATCGATAGACTTACTTAACTGCCTGTAACGTAAAGTTTATATGTAATATTTTATATATCCTTAATCACTGCGTGGCATTTGTAAAGTTTTGGATTTTTATTTCAAATGAGAAAACAAAGATACAGTTCCCCTGTTTGTAAGTGATGGTCACATACAACACAAAGAACCTTTTTACGGACCAACAGTGGCCTATCTCCATCATCTCGCTTACGCCACCTCATTTTTAGGTTTGGTATAAAGCAAACGGTTTACCTCATGTTAAGAGGAAAGGACGTCTTCACTGAGCTCACTCATTCCCAACGTGACAGGTGTTAAGCCTGTCATCGTACACAAATGCAATCCATCCTTTTTCACTCGTAAGTAAAGCGAACAATTGGGAA